CTATAATACTCTCTTTAGCAACTTTGTTGCGAGAGTATAAAAATGGGAGGAACTACGCGAGGATATAAACAGAAACCCATGAGGACTCGAATATAAAATAGTTATGAAGAAACTCGGCGCTCGAGCAAGGCCACCTGACCTAACCGCTGCCAAAATGGATCGTAAAAGCACTATTCCCCATACACGAAATAAGGGTCAGAGACAAAGAACACATTCTAAGATCGGCGCAAATCCCCCAATTTACCCTTGAAACTGCAGTCCTCAGAGTTGCATCAGCCTACCGATCAGTGTCCGTCGATGCAATATTAATTATAAGCGGAAATGCCCCAATATCCATCCGAAAGGAAAAAAGCTGTCGGAGCTAAAGAAGTTATCCGGCCAGGCTTATAAAAGATCTAGACTCACAGACAGGCCGAAAATTCGGAGAGATAGATTTTTACACATTTACAGAATGGGAAAAGACGAGCCGTCATGCCTATACAACGACGGGACAGAAGACGACGCTGAACACACATTCTTTGAATATTTGCGCTGGCAAAGAGCACGCACCGCCGTAGAGGACCTGGGTGGCCCAATAAAAGCGGACAATTTAGACAGGTCGGGTTGGAGAGTGAAGGAAACTGGGGAATTATCAAGAAATTCCCTGGACTCTTGCTACGCAGCAAACAGCAGACGGTTTCTTAGAGGGGGGTTTTAGTGACCTGCAAGTGGCTTATACCGCTGCTGTGACGATGGCACCGATGATGCGGAAGACATTTTCCACTAACTCACCCGGCGAAAAAAAGAAGCCTTCATTACTAATTTGGCATTAAGACCGTATTAAAATAAAAGTAGATAGAACTGAATAACAAAGTCAGCGCGACCACATGCCAAGTCTATAGTTCGAAAATATTTTCCTTCTCCTCAAACTCGGAAATTGTACGAAAGAAAAGAATATATCATAAAAATATATAAGAAAATAAAATAAACGACAAGAAAAAAATGCCGACAAAGAAAGTGACCTTATAAGCACTTTGATAGGCACAAAGCGCTTCGTTGATCTAGAATTTTTTTTATTTATTTATTTTATTTTATTTTTTTTTTGTGTATAAAATTATTCAGCAATCTTTGAAATACTCTTCAAAAACGTATGTGGCCAGTATTTCAACAAGCGCGTGGTCTCCGCCGCCGGTATCAGTCCTAAAATCTAGCTCAACGAGAGATTGGGTCCGGATCTCTGTCGCTGATATGCCTTTACAGAATATAATATATGCAACCAACATACGTATAGTAAATAACCCAAAGAAAGTATCTTGGAAATGTTTTCCTTGTCTAAAGTGTTCTGGTACTGATTTCGGCATCCGCTTTTTATGTTACAAAAATTAGCTTAGATTTTAAAATTTAGCTTTGAAGAAGGTAATCTAAGATTAAACTGAGAGTTTGAGCTTTTACTTTAATTACTGGATTGTCTTTCTGTAGCATGAAACAATTTGCTTTGTTCTACTATTTTCAACTCACTCCAAAATTGCATTTTTTGGGATTCCTCAATTTAGTTACGAAATTATTGTTTCTCGGTCTTGTTCAAAAATAAATACATTATTTTACAAAACATTTTAAATTCATAACTTTTTATTAGTTCATACTAGAGGACCCATCCAGGCTTCACTGTTGCTGATATATAGATAATACTAATAATTACATATATATGATTTCTATTAGTTGGAATATAGCAATTAGCAGAGAATATGAAGTAAAATAGAATGCGCATCTCGTACGACGTACACGTTATATGGCGGGTTTTACTGGTCCATAAACTCATAAAAATGATGGATATGAGGGAATATAAATAAACGTACATATGTATGTGATATTATTTATATGTCTGCTGTAAAATTAAATTTATACATAWATATGTATTAATAGTTATAATCATAATTGCTTAGTCATTGCGACAAAAACGAAAACAAAAGTTTATTATAAATTTCATATAAATTAATTAATTGTTTCAATTTTAAATAAAAAATAAAATATTAGCATCTATTGACCAGCAATAATTTTTAATTTTCTTTGTTTCRAACTTCCTTTTTGCACAGCCCAAATGCAGTGTTTTCTTAAAAGTATTAATAACATAAAATCTAAAATTTCTAGTCAATGGTTGCAGCACTCCCCACTGAACCATTCGGGAGTAGAATTTTTGCATGATTCTAACATGAAAGCCTTTATGCATAATTTCTCAGGCTCTAATATAATATAAAAATTATAACATGGTTTACACTAGCACTCATAAGGGCTTCCGATGGAGCAACGAGATTACCAAAATCTGTAAGTGATTGATAGGTTTTGTGAAAAATGAACAGTTCACTAGGAGCAGTTTAAACTTCATCTTTTTCCTTAATTCCTCGTAACATTTTTCACATTTCAACAAAATATCTAATTGATACCAGCTCTAAACTAATATCTAACTGGTTACAAAATCTTTGCATCTGTCAAATGTAAAAATGAACTTGATAGCTGTAAAATTATTTCTCAACAAGAAAAATTAGAACGGGGCGAAATAAAAATGAGTGCTTTTGTTATATTTTCCTCAATTATTTTAGAAAGGGATGTACATGCAAAGGAAGCTGTTAGCAGGAGGATTTTACGTGACCATTCGAATCCATTAGATGTGCCGGATTTCAAGTAAGAATGTAACATTTGAAAATTATTAAAGAGCGCATGCAAAAATCTCTTTTGAAGGTTAGGTTTGTGGCAAGCTACCGGGTAAACAAAAGTGCTTTTGAAATGCTGGTAAGCGTCGTAGCTCCGCATGTCAAAGGAAAGTAGCATCCCGGCACGACTGCAGTTGGTTTTCAAAAATCAGTAGGGAAGGATGTTGTTGTTGCAATGGGTCGCAGTACAATTGCGAAAGTTCTTAAGCGGCTGCTTAATGTTTTAGAAAAATACATTTGTTCACAATGGATTAAACTTAATATGACGGAGGCCGAAATAGCCGCATCAAAACAACATTTTTTACAAAACTTCGGTATACCTGGCGTGGTTGGATGTGTAGACGGAACACATATTCGGATAACAAAGCCACATAAAGATCAAAGTCTTTTCGACAACCGAAAAGGATATTTCAGCATCAACGCAATGATTGTAAGTACCAAATATAACTACATACTTGTAACTTTATTGTTGGTAACCAATTTTTTTAAATTTTCTTTTAGATTTGTGACTACAATATGACAATGAGAGCAACAGATGCCCGTCGCCCTGGTTCAAGCCATGATGCTTTAATATGGAGTGTGAGCAGAGCTCAAGAGTATTTCCAACGCAACTACGAAGGCGGTGAACGTGGCTGTTGGCTTTTGAGTGATGCTGGCTACGCGTTGCAACCATATTTGCTAACTCCGTTTAGGGATCCAAGTGTTGCAACACCACAACATACTTTTAATCAAATACACTCTTCGGCAAGGAATATTATAGAAAGAAGTATGGGTGTTTTAAAAAGCCGATTTAGATGTCTTTCTCGTCTTTTTTCAATGCCGCCCACGACGGTATATATGCCACACAACTGGGCAATTTTATCTTCTGTTGCTGTTAACGTGTGCTTGTTAAACGGCCCTCCCCCAGTTGCTATAGCTTCGGAATTATTGTGGGCAACTTTTTTCCTGATAAAGGACTTCCAATCCATCCAAACCTAATGAAATATTAGATTTAGAAAAGTTCTTAAGAATTAGAAAATGTATTGTGTCACCTTTTTCCAGCCGGAAATATATTTTTCTGGTGGGCCATGTTTGTTAAGCTCCGCTGCTAACTGCTTCCAAAGCGCATCGCTTTTGACTTTATCGCCTTTTACAAAGCCACGGGCGATGGGCTTCCATGAATTGGATAATTATTGCATCCTGCTCTGCCTTCTTATGTTTTCCCCTTTAAAAATATCACTTTTCTATTAACAATTTTTTTTTTATAATCAAAATTAACTATTTTTAATACTTTTTTGTGCAAAATTTAAACATTTAATTACACTTACATGTTCGCGCAACAAATTCCCAAGTTTGAATTGAAGTGAATGTAAACCGACCAATTTCTTGTGAATTCGCTTTCCAGAACACGCCTATTCACTCGAAATTAATTTTTGGAAAAAAATGTGAAAATAAATCGGGGGAGGTGGAACATAGAACACCAAGTGTCGGATTGAAAGTGAATTTGCTTGATATTCACTCGGAAGTGCATCACAGAACCTGCCTGAATGAGTCTTCCAAATTGGTTGTTAAAATCGAAATCATTTAGCAGACTGTTATCTTCTTCCTCATTTGCAAGCAACTCCGGTTCATTATTAGAAGAGCTGATCCATTGAATCCTGCGTCTCTTCACAGTTGCTAAATGAACTAGTTTTTATAATTTTGAAAGCCAATAACCTGGCTAAAATATTACTCAACTCAGCTACAGAGCGGTTGGTATTATTACCGCCTTTTTGCCTTAATACAGCAAATATATTTTCTAATTTGTCTTGGTTTAAAGATTTTGTCATAATGAGAAATTTGTCTGAATTATCTTTTAATACTTCTTCGACGACTAGAAGAGCAGGTTTTAATGATAACTTCATTCCATCTAAAAAATATACTCTTTTTTTCTCGTCGACAAATTTAACTCCCTCTAAGTAGCATAAGAATAATTGAATAAATGTATGTGTTTCTTTGTTGAGTTGAATAGAAACCGATAAGAGTTACCTGGTATAATGATCCACTATTCATGCAGTCAAAAATATTGTAAATTTTTGAAATAAATTCAACCGTTGATAAAGTTACCGCTTGTGGACTTTGCTTGAAACCCGATGTATCGCAAATAGTTTTAATAGCAACTTCAACTGTTTTGCTGCACACTTGCGTTGCAAATTTAACTCGAATTTTTTCAAATGAGTTTGGAAATCTGTGTTGTCTAGTCAACTTTGGACACATCTTGGTATTACAGTTTTCCTTTCGTTCCCACAACTCTTGTATGACTTTAAAACTTACAATGCCATCGGGCGTTTTTAGGTCACACTTCAGCAATGCATTCCGTAACGACTTAATCAAATGTGGGAAATCAAACATACAGTAAATGTTTTTCCCTTCAAAATTAAAATAAGGCTTTTCTGTACTAACCCCWAAATTAGAAAAGCATTTTCGATTAGACGATCCCTGATCGCAAACTAGTACATTTATATTTATGCCAAAGCTACTTATCATTCTCAGAATTCTTTAATAATTCCAAATAAAATATTTGAGGTTAATCCGYTCTCAGAAACAAAATAATTTAAAATTGAAGTAAAATTAGAGAACATTGATTTCAGCGTAAAAACGTATACCTGCTTACCAATTTTATTTCGAAGCCTTTCTCTCGAAGCCTGTACATTCAAATCCGTCAATCAAATCCAGTTTTGAATTATATATTAATTTCTTTCGAATTGACATTTCGTCCATCAAAAGTACCAAGTGATTTTTATTTTTTTCTTTTAATTCTAAACACATACTCTTRATGGAATCGAAGGCGACATTTTTGATACCAGGTTGAAGGAACTTTATTGGATCCCACCGATTTAAAGTGCTTATGTGTGGCAAATTTAAATTTAATTTATTCCTTAGAAAGGAAAAAAAAGCAATGAAACAATAGAAACTTTGTAAAAATTATGCTAACTTTTCTCAGCTGAACGAAAAGAACAGCGAAGGGCAACGAAGCCCCTGCGGCCTCAATAGGGCGCTGAAGGATTGCCAGTGACAGTAATTATCCCAGAAGCGACCAAGTGGCGCGGACAAAGCAACTGATGCAGCAACAGAGCGCGCATCCGAGTCACTGGAACTGGAAAAAACGCGCCGTTAATTTGCAAAACGAAATCGGACAAAAACACGGTGATTACATAGGTATGTTTGCCAGATATGTGTTCGTTAAACTACAGACAACAATGGCAATAACAACAAAACACTTGTAATAAACACGATGAAAAAAGTGAGAGAGTGATAAAGAATGAACCAAAAGGTCAGGAAAAAACTTGTAAAAACTGTAGATGTTTGCAAAAAGTTAAACAAAACACAAGTTAACGGTTAATAACAACAACAAAAGAGCGTTTAAATAATGCGCGCCAACAACAACAGCAACAATCAAAGTGCAGCGAAGAATTCTTAAGTAAAAAAATTACCACAAAAAAACTTGGCAACAATATCAGCATATAGTAGCTACAACAACAACAAGGCGTTGGCAACAACATCAGTCAATTAGTTGATAACACAAGGTAAACGAGGGAGTAGCCCCATGCACTCCACTGCATCGCAAGGATCGATTGCAGGAGTTCAGGGATGTCAGTGTGTTAATATAGCGCACAACAACATAAAAAGAAATATAATATATAATCGCTCTGATTTTCGAAGGTATGACAAGTTAATCGCTAACCTAAAACCAATTTTCAACTCGAAATAAACTGCTTTCTATTTTCGGTTATTAGAGAAACTCTGTAGCAACTCGTTTGAACTTCTGCAATTTATATTAAGCAAGAGGTTGGTGGGGCAGAGTTGAGGTTACCGGCTCCTCCATATTTCCAAGCAGTTATGTTGTTACCAATCCCATTTTGCGCGTAGGGCAATAACTTGCAACCACCTATTATTTACAATCGCTTTCACGCCAAACCACCGCAAAATTGCTTGGAGTGCACGATGGCTAATTTTCACGCAACATGTTGCCATATGTTGCAATCTCACACACACACACACATCTACAAATAAGGCTGTTTCCTATACATCAAATATCAGGTTTGTGTTTTTAATATATTTTTTCTCTTACATATTTTTAGCAATCTTTTTGTCCAAAGTTTATTTTTTATTGGCACAATTTTTGTATTCTGCTGAAGCTGGTAGCGCCACCAGCGTCGGTTGTGATTGTTATGTGCATTTCGATGAAAAATGCATGAAATGTTTTTCGCGGTAAAGCTATATGCATATATGCAGAACAGCAACAATAAAAATAGTAAGGAACAACAACAAAATGCGAAAAAGAACAACGAAAACAATGTTATGCTGGGGCAACATTTTCTCAGTTGTTGCTTTTTTTTGCATTGTCTTTCGTTGTCGTGCATGGTTAATGAGTGGAATATATCGCAAAAGCAAAATTAAAGTTGCGAAAAAGCGATGGTATAAAGAAAGCGGGTAAGGTATCAGTTGACACAAAGAAGCGTGTGATGAAAAAGTTGTTAAACGCTGCAATTTATCAGGGAACGAATGCTCGTTGAGCCACAAGGCTTTAACAATTACTTTCGGTTACACAAAATTGAGCTGTGAGCGCCCAAAGTGGTAGAGTGGCAAAGGGGGCGGCATAAAATTGAAAAATCTTTTCGATTGTGCAAGTAACAGTAATGAAATGTTCTTACAGCAAAAACAACATGACTGGTTTTAAACGTTTTTAAAGATATATGATTATGCAGGATCCAGCTTTTTTCGAAGTTTTAAAGTGTGAAAGAAAATACAATGTAGTAACTGTAAGGTCTGTAACTTAAGATTTTCATTAGGGTTGAAATTAGCTCCTTAAAATGTATACTTAAAAAGTGTGTAAAACACAATATAAGACCTTAAAGCCACTATCCAGAATCGAATCTTGATAAAACTTCTTTATAATATATAAAGTAATATATGTACTATCTATTCATATCAACGCATAGGGCCCATCTCAGAGACTTCTTTGCATCAGTCGGTAAACTCGAAAGTTGTGAATCTTAATCGCCTCTTCCGGCTTATAGAAAGGATCCTTAACTGGAGCAAACGGGCCTGCTCGCTGAGGATTACAAGCGCTATGAACACTGCACTAGCAAAGTCTACTGAAAAACGAGCTTTTTCTCAAATACTCAATGTGCAGAAAGTAGCTTCAAACTAAATTACTAAATTAGGTATTCACTGAATGTCTGAATAAGTCCTTATTTGATTAACGGGGCATCTAGATAGGATAGAATTTATAGAATACTATCTGTATTGAAGTGCCGATTGCCTGTGGAGACTCCACATTGCTCATAGCTTACTAGATATAGAATACTATCTAGTTTGCCATATATCGTAAGCGCAGTTTTCATTTCTATGAAAATTTCGAAGAGGCAACATATCCCATTTGGATATATGCCGGCGGCATTTTCATTTCGATAATATGAAATTTAGAAGAGCTAGTATTAATACGGTAGTGTTATATTATAAAAATAAAATACATTTTCCAAATAATGTTTTTCCAAAAAATTAATATTGTTAATTTAAAAAAAATTATGCAAATTGGGTTGGGAAGGAGCGAAGTCTTAAATTTGATAAACTTATACAAGCATAAATCCAAATATCATTGCTCATTTTAAATTTATTTTTTTAATTGGTATATTAAATTTATGCCACAATTATTAGTCCAAAAATATGAATTCTTATTTTTGCCAGAGATACATTTGTAAACAAAAGGAGCTTTATCCTTTTTTTATTTTCCACATAAAATATTTAATGAGTGCAAGAGCTACATCAGCTCGAATCTAAATACCCTACGTCTTTGCGCAAATCATTATATCATGCTAGCAAATGCCCACATACAGATTTGGCAATAGCAATAGCAATACGTTTGACAGTTAGTACTCTATAAGATCTATCCTGTCAAAATGCCCCGTAAACTCCTATATAATGGAAGATAACGAGAAGTAGCGGCAAAAAGTAATGATTTCAAAGAAGAATACTGATTTTCTGAAACAAGAGTAGATCTTCAGTTCTTTCAAAGAACAGTTGAAACTACTCTCTCATTGGGATTCGGCTCGTCATGGTTTTGAAATGCAATCCAAAGTTCTTGTTATGT